TAAAACAGAACACTTAATGATATACTATAAGTAATTAAAAAAACTTACTCTAATAAAACCATCATTTTCTTGTTTTGCTGCAGTCATACCATGATCTGTCAAGATAATTCTCATGTAAATAATACTTGAAAATAGAAAGTGTGTATATTATCAATAAAAATAACTTTATTTCATCAATAAAAATTATTTTAATTTTTGGAGTATTTATCTTATTTTAAAATAATTAAAATATATATATACAAAGTTGTAATATTACCTTTGATCTTTCGTTTGACAGTCTCTGGACGTAATGAAGCTATCATTTCTTTTAATTCGCCACACTCAAGAAGCAAAGCCTCGACGTAATATTAATAGAATTATTTTATACTATATTATAAAATATTAACGAGGAAAATCTATTTCTGTAAGCAAGCTTTTTTTTTGAATGAAAATAAATATTAAGCTATTAAAGTATGATCATACAGAAATCATATTTATAACAATATAGTAGATACTATAATAGCAATTATTTAACGTGAATACATAATAAGAAATAATTTCCGTACTTGATTATCTTTATAGGTCAACATTTCTTGTGACAGTCTCACAAGCGTCCGCAAACCATGTATATCAGCGATCTCGTCCACATCACATCGAACCACAGCGGGAAAAAGATCCTCGATTTCTTCGTCTGTTAAAGACGAAGCATTTACGGATAATAACCGATCCCAGTCGGTGCGAACCATTTTTTCGCGATAGCAATCAAGCAATGAATCATGCAACCCTCATCTGCACATTATCGGACATTCTCCCTCGATTTGACATGTTACAGTAGTTTACAAACATTGCCGTGGTGGAAGCAGAGACAAACCTGAGAGAGGACATGGTGGCCCAAAACCTGTAAACGCAATACTGCCGCGTACTACTGCCATCTGAAAAAAGTTAATGTAAACTACATAGCAAGATCCAATTTTCTGAGGCTGCAGATGATAAATCGATATTTGGTTTTGGACCATCATGTCCTCTGTCAGGTTTCTCTCTGATATATACTTACAGACGATAATATACAGGGTGAATTATCCTAGAATGTCTATAATCACAGTGGAGTTGTAATAACACAGAAGATCCGTCAGAAGACTTGAGAAGTTGGTGTGTTGTATTGCATATCAGAATTGTTTACATAATTGTGTAAGTACTGTGTAAGTATTGTTTCACGTGCACACAGAGAGATGTTAATATATAGTTAATATACAAACTTAGAACCAAGATGTAAGGTTCTTTTACATCATGATCAGAATATGTTAACCGTATTCATAGTCAGGTCTTATATTTAAAGCTTCTTATTCTACACAATTATGATGTTTTATTTTATCGTCGTTGTTCACTGAGTATTAAGGAAGTATAAAATAAAACATCATGCATACATTGTGACATAAAATGAAACGCATCTTCCGTGAGATACTTTTTATTTTTTTTTTAAAGCACAGTTACATCATACATAATTTTAAAAACAACTTTTTATATAATATTGCTATTTTTTATTTTTAATATATAACTATTACCCGTATTCATAGTTTTATACTTAAGGCTTCCTAAAGTTTATCTTTACATTCTGTAGCCAATAAAATAATCATAGAGCATCTAAAGTTAAGGAAGTCTTAAATATAAGGCTTGACTGAAAACACGAGCATACCTTTTATATCTTTTATATCTGTATTTTAACTGTGTAACTCTTTATTTTTAATTGATTGCTACATACTTTACATTATATGCAATTTTATTTTCTTATTTTTTTAGAAAAATGGTTGTAAGGCAATATCAAGAAGAGCTTAAATATTTGGAGAAAATAAATGAATGTTGTTGGAGAATCAAGAAAGGTTTTCAACCTAACATGAAGGTAATTTTTTTTCTACTATACGTAAAATGTAAGAATAAGATAGATATTAAGAAACATATGTATATAGCACTTTCATGATGTTTTTAATATTATATGTTTTTATCTTATTACATAAATAAACTATAATTAAAGGTTGAAGGAGTGTTTTATGTAAATAACACATTGGAGCGATTAATGTTTGATGAGTTGCGCAATGCATGTCGGCCAGGTATGGTTGGAGGCTTCCTTCCTGGGATGAAACAGATTGCTAATGTGGCTGCTTTACCTGGTATTGTATATAGGTCTGTCGGATTACCAGATGTACACTCTGGATATGGCTTTGCTATTGGTAAAATATATATCATCTTTCATTTTCTTATATTTTTTTCCAACACATGAATTTAAAATAGTCTGTAATAATTAACTATATCAAATGAATGAAATAACAAAATAATGAGTATATTGCATTTAGGTAATATGGCGGCATTTGATATTGATGATCCAAAGTCAATTGTATCACCTGGTGGTGTAGGCTTTGATATTAATTGTGGTGTCCGTTTATTACGAACAAATTTATTCGAGAGGGACGTCGTACCAGTAAAAGTAATACTATTTTCTTAATAATTGTTTTTATAATTTTATGCATTATAAAATAGTAATAATGTATATATCTGTGCTATACATTTTATATAATATAACATTTTTTTTGTAGGAACAACTTGCGCAAAGTATGTTTGATCACATTCCAGTTGGTGTTGGATCTAAAGGAATTATACCAATGAATGCACGGGATTTAGAGGAAGCGTTAGAAATGGGAATGGATTGGTCTTTGAGGGAAGGTAAGGGAAAAAATATGAAACAAAGTATTGATGAAATAAAAATATATATTAAATAACAAAAGTACTCATATAAAATGTACTTAGGTTACATTTGGGCTGAAGATAAAGAACATTGTGAAGAATATGGAAGAATGCTTAACGCGGATCCATCAAAAGTATCAATGAGAGCTAAGAAACGCGGACTTCCTCAAGTATGACATAAGAGATATCTATAAAATCATATTTTTTAATATTTGCACAATTTTTTCTAGTAAATATATTTTGTTGAATTTTAATATGGGAGATTTTAAGGTCGTTGATTACAAATCTGAAGTCAAAATTTAAAGAATTAAAAAATTAAAATTCCGGTGACTATATATATTGTATTTGGATTATTGGCATAAACTACCATAATTATGCAAAACTGTAAATTGTACAAAAAGTTCAGCTGAAAAAAATAGAATTCTACATCAATGACGCAAATTTTTAATATAAAATTTCAGCCGAATATATTACTAATGATATCCGGATATCGAATATTAAAAAAGTACCGGAAAATTTCCTCATATTAGATGCATCTCTAATATTACAAATAATTTTATATTAGTTAGGTACATTAGGAGCTGGAAACCATTACGCAGAGATTCAAGTAGTAGATGAAATATATGATAAATGGGCTGCATGTAAAATGGGTATTGAAGAAAAAGGACAAATTTGTGTTATGATTCATTCGGGAAGTAGAGGATTTGGTCATCAAGTTGCTACAGGTTATAAAAATTATACGTGTGATTTTTTTTCTTTCTCCTTATATATTATATTAAGAAACTATTAAAAATTGTTCTATACAACAAAGTACATTTCAGATGCACTTGTACAAATGGAAAAAGCTATGAAACGTGACAATATTGAAACCAATGACAGGCAACTTGCATGTGCTCATATTAAATCTCAAGAAGGTCAAGATTATTTGAAAGCAATGGCAGCTGCTGCTAATTTTGCTTGGGTTAATAGAAGTTCTATGACATTCCTTAGCCGACAGGTATTTTAAAGAAATACATGTATATAAATACTAATTAATAGAAATACAAAATAATACATAATGTATATATTTTTTAATAGGCATTTGCAAAACAATTTAACTCGTCTCCCGACGATTTAGATATGCATGTTATTTATGATGTGTCTCATAATATTGCCAAAATAGAAGAACATATAGTTGAAGGAAAACAAAAGACACTTTTAGTTCATAGAAAGGTAAATGTTTATGAGACATATATTGCAACTGTGAATGACAGCTTAATTTTAATATTGATGTAAATATAACATAATTCTTATCAATTGTATGCAAATGTATTTTACTTGAAGGGATCAACAAGAGCTTTTCCACCACACCATCCTTTGATTCCTGTAGATTATCAGTTAACAGGTCAACCAGTTTTAATCGGTGGTACAATGGGTACATGCAGTTATGTTTTGACTGGGACAGAACAGGGTATGAAAGAAACATTTGGATCGACATGTCATGGTGCCGTAAGTGTAGAATTTATTAATTTTTATATACATATATACATATATAATGTTTATATGATATATCATTTATATCATTGTAACTTTAATTTTACAAATAGCTTCATACAAATAATATATTTATATTATATGAAGGAAAATATGAAAACTATTCCTATATACAAAAATATATGTATGTACAGGGCCGTGCTCTTTCAAGAGCAAAGTCACGTAGAAACTTGGATTACATGCAAGTTTTGGAAAAATTAGAACAATTAGGTATATCTATTAGAGTTGCTTCACCAAAATTGGTCATGGAAGAAGCACCAGAATCCTATAAAAATGTAACGGACGTTGTTAATACTTGTCACGCAGCTGGAATTTCGAAGAAATGCATCAAACTGCGGCCAATCGCGGTTATTAAAGGATAATTTCCATAAGAAAATATTTTGACTGTGTTTTTATAATAGTGTAAAGCAAATTAGAATTAAGATATCGATGAATAAAGCTTAAATTGTATGTAAAATGATTTATATAATTTTGCAGTTTTATAAATTATATTAAATACACGATATAAAAATTATAATAATTTATTAATATTACATTAGCTTTCTTATTCAATAATAAAATAATGCTTAATGTAATAAGTTCATTGTATCTAATGATATGAGATATTTATACATATATGTGTTATTAATATAGTTAAAATAAATCAAAATTATGTTATTTATAATTATGTATGTTATATATCATGAACTATACATAACAGGGTAAGGGAGAAAAAGAATAAGAGATAACAAAATTTTTAAAAATATTTCGTTAGCGATTTATTAGAGAAAATGTACAATTACCTATTTTCGTCATAAGAAAGCTATATTAGACTAATTCGTTGACTTTACACAGGAATTAAAAATTCGCAGCATTATATTTAACAAATCCTCCACTGACTAGAGAAAATAATACAGGAAAGATACACGAAGAAAAGATAGTCCCGTGTTTTTACTCGCAAGTAGATAATGGAAGCGAACCCATCACCATAAATAGTATGTATATATCATGACTCGTAATGTATAACAGTGACTTATTGTTTGAACCCTTGAAAAGAGAGTACAAAGAGAAGTGATAGTCACTGGAGGAGTTGTACACCGAAATACAAAACCGACCAATAGGACGAATGGTCTGAAATGCATTCCACGAGAATTATAAAAAATGTACGTTATTTATAAAATATTATTCTAACGAACTTATGATAGGTGATAGTCAGGAGAAGGTTCAGCTACAGATTCAGTAGTGAACAAGGGGTTTGGGAACTCTGGTGGGTGTGGCAGTGGTCCAGCAGTCTTTGGCTGACGTCGATACGCCATAAGCCAGCATGACACAGCAATAGCTACGGCAACCAATGCCAAAAGTGCCGTAATTATTAACGCTATGATAAAGCCGACCATAGAAACACAGATATCTTCCACTCTTTGTGCTGAAGGAGCTAAAAGGTATCACAAAAATGATTACTTCTTTTATTTTAATATGCATAAGAATCACCATAAAAGGTGGCTTTTATCTAGTCACATTAGATAATTTATGAATTAATTTTTAGACTGTGATTTTTTTAAAAAAGTGACGATAAATTATTTCAAGACACGCCACATTTCAAGCCACCACCTTTTATGGTATTTTTTTACATGTGTTGTGCCTTACCTTCAGCTGGATCTGCTGTATACCTCTCCTCTCTCCTTTCCAGAGTGAATATTAAGTTCGATTGAATAGTTATCTCTTCACGAAGTTGACCTTCATATCCATCGGACACACTTAGAGATGTATCGTTAATCTCGGAATCAACGTCTCTACGACGACGGCCAAAGGCATTATAACCGCGACAGTTTACCTGATAATAGAAGAAATATTTTTATTGTCAAAGCTGGCATTTCAGCTAATATTGAAATATATATATAAAATGATTACAAGTTTCGAATACTCACAGGTTGACAGCGTCCGAAACACACGCGTATGTTGCACTGAAATCTTATATTGTCACTGCTAGGGAATTTGAACGCATTAAAACTAGCCATTAACGATTGAGTATCAGGATTTTGCTCCCATTCTCCGAATATCGTGGGATCTGTCGCACAGCCATTTTCATCCGTTACAATGTACTCGTTCTCTAAATTATCTTCCATCGTTTTAGCGACGCAATTTCGCGCAAATCCACCATAAATAGCTGCAATATATTATTATTTATTCTCATATTTTACAACAGGATTAAGCTGGTGTTTAAATAATTGAAATTACACACGAAACGTTATAAATAAAATACGGTACTTACTTGAAGGTTGAACTTCCACTTGAAGCATTAGATTATCTCCAATTTCGGCAGAGTTAATTTCATTTCCATTTTGTGCAACTATTTTCATTACGCATATAGGAGGTGGACCGGTGTTAGCGATTGTTCCAGCAGTCGTCAACATGGAGACATTAAAACCAAGGGTAACATTCTGTTCTCCAGTTTGGTATATACATTTAATATGATAAGCTTGTGCCTTGTAAGTCATCAATTTCGGATGTTTCTGTATAACGAGCACAAAGCTAGCTTGTCCCTAAAAAGTGAATCAAGATAATGTAAATATCTTTCGATGCAACAAGTCATTGATGCAGTTATGATACACAATGTTATTCAACTAACATTCACATGTATGAGTCCGCAATTGCCAAATGCAACTTTGAACGTTTCGGTTTTATGATCAGTTTCAGCCGGTATCGAAACAACTCGTCTGCATTGTTCATCTTTGCTACGACCTTTAACGTACAAGACCCCGTCGAAGTCTTGATCTTGCAAATGTATTACGACTTGTACTCCATCTGATAGGCAACTTACATCCATTTCCGGTCTAGGGAAATCTGTTCGACCATCTTTTCTGTCGTCTAAAAAATAAGAAACATAAAGCATTAAAAGAAGTTTTCAGACGAAAGTTACCGATTAACTTATTATTTATAAAAGATATAATTCACGGAAAAAAATGGTACGTTTTAAAAGTCTAATGTATGTTCTAAAAGTTTATATATGTAAAATCTTCTAAATTATTATAAATTATCGAGATCACGCGTTTATTTTCACAAATTTTCAACGTACAGCATTGAGTGTATGGATTGCCCAAATAGCCATTAACGCAGACACACATAGCTTGATGTCTGGTAGCGTTACAAAGCGCGTGCACGCCACACTGTTGCTTCTTGCAAGGATCTTGGCAAGTATGAGTGACTTTATCGCAGTATCTGTCGTCGGCGCAGTCGTCATTATGTCTGCACTCGATTACACCAACTGAAATTAACCGCGATGATAGATTAGTGAAACGAGGAATCGTAAAACACCTCTTGATCGATATAAGAAATTGAATGATCAGCTTACTTTGTCTACAATATCCTTTAGTATCTATTTCGTATCCGTATCGCGTCGGACAAACACAACGACCGTATTCATCTATGCTGAAGCCCTTTTCTAAGTCGCACACGCAGTAGCCTTCTTCGTTTATCATCATATTAGACTGTTTGCGACAAGGTATGCAGACGTCGTTTGCGTCCTTACCGAATCCAGGCGGGCAGACGCAATTGCCGTATTCATCGCGAATCTGTCCTTTCCCGATTGGACAGATTTCCGCTGGAATTTGATCACAGCGGATAATCGCGTTTCCACGGTATCCTGGGAGACATTCGCATATCATGGTCCTGATTGGACTGGTATCCAGAACTTTACATTCGGCATTAATACCGCACGGTGCGATCTTAGTGCACGGATTAATGCACTGCTCGTTGAAGCACGCAGTTTGGGAAGGACACTCATTGTCTGCTTTGCACTTTTCCTTAACTATAAAAAGATCCAGTGAGAAATTAAAACTGAAGAACTAATTATGTACATATATTAATTTCAACAAAGCTGAAATAGATCTTTCTTTTACCCTTAGTACAGCCTGACTTAATGTCGCCGATGTAGCCAGGTGGACACGCACATTCCACAACGTGATTATAAACATTACAATCCATATTGCCAGTGCATGGATTCTGTACACAGGGATTTTCACAGCGATTGTTAATGCAAGCCTTATTGGTAGGACAATCAGAATTAGTCCTGCATCCTAACAAGACGCAGGAGACCCGCGGATTGCCACCAAAACCTGGTGGACACTCGCAGATAGCCTTATGATGGATACCGTGACATACGGCGTTCTTGCCGCAAGAGGCCAAGGATGGCGAGCACGCTGGTACGCAATTGCGTTGGACACACACGTGTGAACCGCTGCAATCGCTGTCCGTTCTGCATCCTGCAACTAAAATCAAAATACAACATAAAAATCAATATATCATTAGAAAATATAACTCCTCTTTATTAACGTGTTCCTCTAAGCGAGGAAAACTTATAATGGCTTTGTCTAAACAAAAAAGTACCTCTTGTACAAAGAATATCCGGATTTCCGTCATATCCTAGCGTGCACGAGCATATCGGCTTATGATTGATGACATTGCAAACCGCGTTAGGCCCGCACGCGCAGGGATCCCTACAGATCGCGTTCACGCAGGAGCGTTCCGAAGGACAATCATCATCCTTGGTACATTCGATTTTGAGAATTGGTTTGGTAGCCCGACAGGTACCACTGCCGCTGCTGACGTATCCGCTAGGGCATACGCATACCATGGTACGTATCGGATGCGTTGGTAGAACCCGACACTCAGACGGTTCAGTGCATGGTTGTATGATCGGGCATGGAATTTGGCATTTGTTGCTCAAACAAGCAAGTGAGTCCGGACAGTCACTGTCCTCCCTGCACTCAGGTCTGACTTCTGGTTGGCAATTGATGTATGGATTTCCAGTGAAGCCCGATGGGCAGCGGCATATCGGCAAGTGATTTAGGACTCTACATTCCGCGCGAGGTGAGCAGGGATTGTCATGGATGCAAGGATCGATACATTGCATGTTGATGCACGAGTGATCGCCTGGACAGTCGCCGTTACTGTAGCAGCCGATCACGCGGCAGCGATCCACGGGATTACCATGATAGCCCTTACGGCAGCGGCAGTCGGCTATGTGATTGTTCGGGAAGCACTCAGCGTTGGTACCGCATAGATCTGTGACCAGGCATGGGTTCACACAGTTATTATTCTTGCAGGTCTTATCGAGCGTGCACTGACTGTCGTGCTGGCACTCGACGGAATGACAGGCGATCTCGGGATTGCCCTGATAGCCCTGTTCGCATGAGCAGATTGGTTTATGATTCTTTACGTAGCAAGCCGCATTGGTACCGCAGTTGCAGGGGTTACGACATTGCCTGTTAATACACGTCTCACGATCACTGCAATCGTCGTTCGTCGTACACGTTCCAATGACCGTCAATTGTACTATAACATTAAAATAATTTATGGATAACCAATTATTATTTTCAAACAATATATTGTTTTTTAATTGATCGATTAAAATAATATTTGGCTTTGCTTACTTGGCCTGCAAACACCGTCGACATCGGTGATCCAACCCTCAGGACAAGTGCAAATCATGGTCCTTACGGGTACCGTATCGAGAACATCACAACGAGTGTTTTCGAGGCATGGTTTGATGACCGGGCAAGGATCGATGCATTTCTCCCGAATGCACACCAACTTGTCTAAACAATCGATGTCGACTTTGCATTCAGGCTCCTCGATTTCCACTGCGGTATGCCGCTCGCAATAAGAGAATGGATTTCCCAATGGAATGTTTTCGGGGCAACGGCAGGATGCAATGTGATCTTGGACGTAACAAACCGCATTCTGCGCGCAAAGTGAATTCTCGGCGCATGGGTTTATACAGCGACCGTCGTTGCAAGCCAAATTGTGGGGGCAATCGTGGTCGGTATTACACTCAACTCTTTCACAATGAATCTGCGGATTGCCGTAGTAACCCGGACCGCAACGACAAGCCGACCGATGATTCTTGCCGTAGCATTCCGCGTTGATGGCGCATTTGTTGTCCAAGATGCAAGGATTCACGCATTGGCCATTATAGCAGGTAGCTGCATAGTCGCACTCGCTGTCAGATTCACAATCAACTAAAATAGACAATCGCGATTAGAAATACATTAAAAATTATGAGATTTTTTTATAATTTTTGTGATCTGGAATAGTGTCCTATTAGTAAGACGATTAAGTCGCGCCATTAATAATAAAATGTAGTCGCAATTATAATAATTCATATACTAGCTGTAAATATATTATAAACATATTAACATAGAGTAATCTTAAAAACTGCAAATAATTTATTGCTATAATAATAAATTATTTGCAGTTTTTAAGATTTTTATTAACAATAAATTATTAATATTCTTACAAAATGCTTATTAGCATTAATTATATTATTAAATTACTTGTCATTAATATGATATGATTACTATTCTAGTTCTGTTCATACCTACGTTTCAAGATCGAAAAAGATTTTGGCGCCCGGATTGCCAAATTAGATATATAAATGTATATAAATTTATAAATCCGAAATATTTAAACGCTAAAATCCGCTTTGACCGATAATAAGATTTCTCTTACTTAATTAGATTTATTCTCATCGGTCTGATTTAAAAAAAACTCTATTATAAATAAGATATAAATTTCACTCGCTGTGTGTATAAAGAGAATAGAGTAAATGCTTACGTTTAAAACATCCTAATTGAGGATTTCCAGAATAGCCTGGAGGACATACACAAGAAGGATAATGATTTATGACGTTACATTTGGCATTGGGTCCACAATTGCAGGGATTAATGCACATGCCGTTGACACACGCATAATTTCCTGCGCACTCGCTGTTTGATACGCATTCAGGCGTGATCTCCGCTACAGTCGAAAATATTGTAATATGAGATAAAATTGTTACAATTTCTCCAAAATATATACTCTTTATTTGTAATAATGCTTACGTGGTATGCACTTGGTTTTAGGATCGCCGATATAGCCAATCGGGCATTTGCAAATCGGATTATGATTGTCAACGTGACACAGAGAATTCTTGCCGCATGGATCACCAGCAACACACGGATTTACGCAAAGCGAATTTATGCATTGCTTGTCGCGCGCACATTCACTGTTTGTGTAACATTCTGGTCGAGGTCCTGGCAATGGAACAACTGGAACTGTAACAGAAATTATATCAATATGCATATATTATATATTCTAGGAAATAAAAGATGACAATAATTGCGAGAAACGCTTCAATTTATAGTTAAAATTTCTGCATTTATGTACCTCTTATGCATTCTATGTAGGCGTTGCCAGTAAAGTCCTGAGAACAGAAACAGATACCCGTGTGAGACTTGGATTTACATTGCGCATTAAAACCGCACTGAGTTGTCAAACAGGCATCGACACATTTTCCATCCAGACACATCTCGTAGTTGGCGCAATCTTGATCTAAATGACATTGCACGTCGCCCAACACTGCAATGCATCCATAGACATTTAAACAAGTTATGGAATAATAATAATACAAAATATTATACATTTCGTATAAGATTGACATGTACCAATCTGCTTGCACTGGCCATTAACATCAGTGATCGTGTTCGGTGGACACAAACAAATCATTGTACGAAGTGGTTCCGTGTTCAGAACTTTGCACTCCTGTTCACTGGTGCACATACCAGCGGATATACATGGATCTTGACATTTGGTATTAATACAAGCGAGATTCAATGCGCATTCATTATCCTGCGTACATTCCGGCTCAATAGAAGGTTCACCTACGAATCACACAAATATATCAGATAGAACTCCTTAAAACTATCTTTGTTATAGACCAATTTTAAATAAATTTTTCTTCAATAAAGTTAACAACAAAGTAACAATAAAGTTTTAGAACTCAACATACCAATGCATGTTACATAGGGATTTCCGGTGGTACCCGGAGGACATGTGCACTTCGGCTGATGATCGCGCGCGACACAAATTGCGATTTCACCACACGCATCGTCGTCGCAAACCGGCCTACAAACTCTATTCAATCTGTCACAGGCTTCGTGATCAGCGCAATCTTCATTGTAATGGCAGATCGCAGAAATACATGCCACACGTGGGTCGCCTTGAGTACCTTGCGGACAGATACATTGGGCTCTATGAGATACCGCTCTGCATTCTGCACCCCGACCGCACATAATATCACCAATGAGACATGGAGAGACGCAATTATCGTTGCGACAGGTTTTATCATAAGGACAGTCATTGTCTGTTTTACATTCCGCTGAAAGAAAAGAAACAAATATGTGTAATAGAAACGAATAAGTGCTACGTATCCAAATAAAAATTATTTAGATTAATTTTCAACATGTTTGAGATCTTTTGTCATTAAGATGCACTAGACTTATTGGTGTTCTTTTCAAAGAAAATGATCAAAGAAAATCAAAGAAAATGATTATTTCAATTATTTTAAAATTATATAAGTTTATAAATACATTTTTTATGGTAATGTGACAATTTTTAGAATTTATAAGAAACTTACGTCTGAAACATTGAGCTTGTGGATCACCAGCTAAACCATGTTGGCAGTGACAAGAAGGATGATGATTAATCGTGATGCATTCCGCATTTAGACCACAACGATTGCTGGAGCACGGATCTTGGCATAATTGATTTATGCACGCTTTGTCGAATGGACACTCGGTATTTGTTCTGCATTCCGCAAGAACTATATTTTCTGTAAATGTAAAAGGCAGAGATATAAAAAACGTACGATCGCTTACATTGAGGAATGAAAAAAAGTATACAATACCTTCATAGCAATTTATGAATGGATCACCGACGTATCCGTGGGGACACTGACACACACGGCGATGATTTTCGATATGACATTCGGCATTTGGTGAGCATGGATTAACGGTGCATGGATTGATGCATCGACGATTTAGACAGGCCATGTCCGGTGTACATTGTGAATCACTCTCGCATACCGCAACGATTTGTTTGTCCACTGCAAATACACAAAATATTCGTAATTCAGTTATCAATTTTTACCGTATATACAATTAATTAATTTTAATTGAATTAATTTTATTTGAAAATTTCGATTATTTTTTAAAAAATAATTTATTTTATTTTATTTAGATATGTTTTTCTATATTAATGTATATTTGTTTGGATAAAAGCCTACCTGGCACGCAAGCAACAGTGGCATCACCAGCAAAATTTGGTAGACATTCGCAAACCATTGTTCTCATCGGTAAAGTATCTACAACGCTACATTTAGCACTAACGATGCATGGTTTCGTTTCTGTACATGGATCTTTGCAAATGCCATTGAAACATGCCAATTTGCTAGGACAGTCGGCATCGACTTGACATTCGGTCTCTGGTTCTAACAGATCTAAAATAACAATAGATATTGTATAAGCATATTATCAAATCATAATTAATTGTTACTTTGCAAATTTTTTACGGCATTTATCTAAATTATTACTTGTTAAATATACCTTCTCAACTTTATTAGCAATCATTTAATGATATAAGGCTCTATATATAATCATATTTCTCATTTTATTAAATACATAATTGCATATATGTGGTGTGTAGCGATTATCTTTACTTAATTTAATATACTTCTAATTACTTTACAAATATATTTATAAACTTAATATTAAAATGGATTCTTACCCATGAGACACGAAGTGTAAGGATTACCCACGTAACCAGGTGGACATTTACATACTGGCCGATGATTGACAACATTGCATAATGCTGGTGGTGGACAGTTGCAAGGATTGACACATCTTAAGTTGCGGCAGGCTAAAGATGGAGCGCAATCATTGTCGCTAGTGCACTCAGGTCTTTCGCATATTTCGTAAGGATTACCCGTATATCCATCAGGACAATAGCAACGAGTTTTATGATACCCATCAGCGGTACACATTGCATTAATACCACACTGTGTAACCAGGCAGGTATCAATACATTCGTTGTTAATGCAAGATTGAATTAATGAGCATTCGCTATCGCTACGACAACCGACTGTAAAAAAAATATTAATAAAGTTAATGTGTGTTATATAACTAAAAGATATACCAGTTAAATACGTGTATATTTGTTTAACGCACGTTGATGGCAATATTGCTGAGGATATCCAGTGTAACCATCATTGCAGATACATATAGCTCTGTGCATTTGTACATGGCAGCGACTATTAAGACCACAAGAATCAAGAGTACACGGATCAACGCACTTTTGATTGAAGCAGGTCTTGTCATTTGAGCATTCGGAATTTTGTGTGCATTCTGGAATTGGTTCTGCAAAAATATAATTAAAATTTAAATTTTGTCATCACGCACACAACAATAAAAAACGCATTTCTTCATAAAGTTAACTCTAAAATTTATTATTTTCGATATACATATTAATGCTTTATCAGAATGATTTTTTTATGTATTAATATCAGTATTTCATTAGATTATTATCTTATAAATAATATACATAATTTGAATATTTACTAAATAATGTAATATATGCATATTTTAGAAAATAGAATTAATTTTTTTAATGAATAATAATTTAACAATCTATTTTTTAAAAAACATCTAACATTGTATTGGTATATTCTTCAGATGTAAATATTACCTTCAAGGGCTGGAATTGTGCACTGCACTCGCGCATTACCCATGAATCCAATTGGACAGGAACAGATTGGTTTGTGATTAACGGTTTGACAAATAGAATTAATACCGCACGCGCCAATGCAAGGATCTTTGCATTTCTGCGAAAAGCAGGCTTTATCACGCGGACAATCTGAATTGATGACGCATTCAGGATAAATGCAAACAGCGACACCATTTCTCACTCTGCATTCGCCGTTGTAATTACAAGGCGATGGACTGCAAGGATTGGTTTCTAAAACAAAAATGCGTATTTTATAATAACAGCGAAACAATCTGAGAATAATATAATATATTTTATACCAAATTCAAAATTTTTCAATATTTACCGATCTTTGTATAACATTCCTCAAAAGGATTTCCGATCAATGGAGATGGACAACTGCAAAGTGGGCTATGATTGATCGTCTTACACACTGCCTTGCTACCGCACACATTCTGAGAACAGGGATCTTTGCATTTACTCTGTATGCAAGCTTTATCACCCGGACAATCCGAGCTGAGGACGCACTCCGGATGACAACCAGTTACACTCGTTGGAACGCCTTGCAGCCCAGGCAAACATTTGCAAATTGCCGTATTACCAATTTTCTCGCACACAGTATTCGGACCGCACGGTGATGGATAACACGGATCCGTTTCCTTAGTATCTAAACACAAGAATAATAATAGGAATTAACAACATCCATCATACAAAAAAAAAGAAAGCTTAAAAGATATAGCGTTTTAATCTTTTATGTTTAAGAGCTCTTTATTCAATTAGAAAGATAAATGATTAAATTATACATAACACTGCTGTTCAACAAAATTTGATCTCTTTTTTTGCAACATACGTATGAATATATAGTCATTTCCGATGTATTTTTGTTTGTAGAATACGAATCTGTTAGCCAAATTTAACTATCATGTCACAATTTTCAGAAAAAGAATGTTAAAGAGACTAAAACAGTATTGTTTTAAAGATTTTTATGACATAGCAGTAGAAGCAAATTTTTTCTAAATTTCATTAGCCACGCGAAAATATCAACGTTAAACTTTAAAATACATTTTATTTTGTTTCATTATGATTTGATGAGTGCTGCAACATCATCAATATTTTTTAAATTATTGTTATTTTACCTCTTTCATCATCATTTATCATTTTTCTCAAAATTGTGATGTAATAACCAAATTTGACTAACGGATTCAATAGGCAAAGGTACATCGGAAATAATTATTCACACTCGTATTGAAAAATGATGTTAGACAGTGTAATTAGAAAGAGAGAAGATATAAATAGCAAACTCTTACCTTCCACAGGGACTTGACAGAGCGTGAAAGCGTCTCCGATCGTTGGCAGTGGGCAAGAACAAATAGGGACATGATTGGATACGGTACAGGTTGCACCAACGCCGCAAGTACCAGGACAAGGATCTTGACATTTCGTCTTTATACATGCTTGCGATTTTGGACAGTCGGTATTCACGAGGCACTCGGGTTGACAGCCTTGATACGGATTCCCTCTATAATTCGGTACGCACTCGCAAATGGCTGTGTCAAATCTCTCGCGGCAGTACGCATTTATTCCACACGGTGATGGGCTGCACGGTCTAGATGGTACCGGTGGTGTTGGAATTGCTAAAATAACAGAAAACACACACATAATTAATTTCATAGTCATAGTTTATACGATTTAAAGATTATACATGCAGTATATATTATGTGTAAATTAATGTTTTTAAAGATATAGTATTATTTGCATATAAAAAGTAAATAAATATATGTCTGTTGCATGCAATGTACATATTTTTTATACATGTAAAAGTGTAACATATATATAATACATATATTTAAAGATATTTTGTCACGTATCGTGATCGATATATGATAATCGAATATAGCATTTAAAAAATGATGCAAGATCAATATGTGAAAAAATTGACATGTGCAGTTCTTTTAAATACATCAATTATGTACACTAAGAATATTTACAAGATCTAGAGTTCAAGAAATTAAGTTTTAGAGATTAAAATGTTGATTGACAAGATGCCGAAGTAATATGTCCATCAGGTCAGTTATTACGGGTAAAGGTAGCGGGGATTTTCTTACATATTATCTCAGAGCAAACTGTGAATGGGTCTCCAGTGTATGATTCGGGACAAGTGCATCGGGCTTGGTGCAAAGTGACTTGGCACAGTGCATTGAATCCGCATAATCCAACACACGGATCGGTACACTTCTGCTTAATGCATGCTTGATTGGTGGGACATTCGCTGTTTACATGGCATTCGGGTCTACAATTGGGTGGAGATCCTATAAAGGTGGGCGAACAGGAGCAGGAGGGTATGTTATCGGCGGATACCGCGCACTGCGAGTTCAATCCACATGGTGAGGGGTAACACGGGTCCCTGGTGGGTTCTACGTCCGGTGTTGCTGGCGATAAAAAAAGAAATTCATTATTTATTTCAAAGTTAAAGAAAAGATATCTCAAATTCAACAATACAAACACAATCAAAAAGCCATGAAGAAGACATCCAAAAGACACATCCTTCTCATGTCAAATTTTAGACGCCTATACAATGTCTCTTAGATGTTTGCATTATTTGCAGCATCCTGGGTAGTTACTTACTTATGGGGAAACAGTTGATAAACGGGTCACCGGAATGCTGAACGGGGCATCTGCAAATTGGATTATGGTTTCGCACAACACATAGCGCGTTCTGGCCACAAGCGTTTTCACAAGGGTTGCGACATCTCATATTCACGCAAGCCTTGCTCTGCTCGCAATCGGTGCTAACGAGACATTCGGGTCTACAGCTTGGCGGGATACCGAAGTAACCAGGTAGGCAAGAACATGAGGCTTGATCTCCGAATTCACGGCAAACGCTGTTAGGTCCGCAAGGGGAGGGCTCGCAGGGTTTGACGCGTGCTATCGAGATGTAAGGTGGTAAAATTAATTGGCTTTTTTCAATGACAGAACTCCTCAGAGAGAATAAACAAAAATAGGGAGACTCACATTGCACACGTTTACAGATAGTGAATGGATCGCCTTCATAATCCTTGACACAGCTACAAGTGGATACATGATTGATAACCGCGCATTCCGCATTCTGACCGCAAATTCCGACGCAGGGATCCACGCACTTATTATTCGCGCAAGCTCTATTAAATGGACAATCAGAATTCTGCACGCACTCCGGCCGACATTCCCGATATGGATCACCACGATATTCAGGTATACAATTGCAAATTCCATTACGGCAATCGGCATTCAATCCGCATGGCGACGGATTACATGGGTCTGATGTTACTGTAGGAATTTCTGTCGGAATCGAAAGACGCAAGTGTAAAGAATGATTGTTTTATATTATTAGTTTATATTAAAAAAAAAAATTTATAAGTGGGCAACAAAAGTTCTTACGCATGGGCGTCAGGTAACAGTTGCTGAAGGGGTCGCCTGTGTATCCATCGAGACATGTGCAAGTCGGGGTATGCTTGATTACAGTGCATAAGGCATTAAAACCACAGGATCCAGGACAGGGATCTCTGCATTTTTCTCTAATACAAGCTTTATTACTGGTGCAATCAGAATTAATTGAACATTCGGTACGGCAGTAAGGTGGCGATCCAATGTAATTAGGCATACACGTGCAAAACGGATAGCCTCCCCTGTCTTGACACGTGGAGAATGGCCCACAAGGCGATGGGACGCAAGGGTTTACTTGTAGTGTTGGTACAGGCATCACTGGAATAAAATTTTATATAACAATCTCCGCGCGTATACAGGACTATCTTTCAATGACGTAATGTTCTCACAGTAAACCTTTTAAACCGGGACTTACAGGGCATGTCGAAACACTTGACGAAGGGATCTCCAATCTGACTGGGTCCGCAACTGCAGAATGGACTGTGGGACAGGGCATCACACTTAGCGTTAATACCACATACACCTGGGCATGGATCGACGCATTTCTGATTGACACACGCGCGATTTATAGGGCATTCTGTGCTAATGATACATTCAGGTCTGCAGTCGGGGGGAATTCCTTGATAAGTGGGCAGGCACGAACAACTGGCTTTTCCGTTTACATTGAGGCATCGACTATTCGGACCACACGGTGACAATTGACAAGGGTCGCCTATAGGCACCGGAGCTATGCAAAATCGATCAAAAAAATGAAATAACGTGTTCTTGTAAATGACTGATACCAACGGATCAGATGTTTGAATCCACTTACGAGTTTCCTGCATGGGTTCGCAGTATCTGAATGGGTCTCCGGTATATCTCGATTGACAGCTGCACGCCGGTATGTGGTTGATGACTTCGCAAATTGCATTGACACCGCATGTTCCTGGGCAAGGGTCCTGACACCTGTTTCTTATGCAAGCTCGATTGAATGTACAGTCAGAATTGATTACACACTCGGGTCTACAACCTTCGTACGGATTTCCGTAGAAATCGGGCAAACAAGTACAGGAAGCTGAGCCAGAAATTTCACGGCACATAGCATTTGCGCCACATGGTGAGGGCTGACACGGATTTAATGGAACTAGCGGTGTGTCGACTAAAATAAGAGGGCCATATATTGTTTAATTATCAAAATAATATGTCAAACGTAATTTATAATAAAAATCACGTAACGCGTATTTTCTGCGAAGTTGCTTTTCTTCAAAACTTACTTGGTCGGGGATTGCACTGAATAAATGGATCACCGGTAAAGTCACCAGCGCAAATACACATCGGGGTGTGACTGACAGTTCTACATTCAGCATTTCTGCCACACGATCCCGGACAAGGATCACGGCATTTCTGGTTAATGCAAGCTTGTTGACTAGGGCATTCACTGTTACTAACACACTCCGGTCTACATCTAGGCGGAGTGCCGATAAATTGGGGCAAGCAAGAGCATGATGGCGCGCCATTGAGGACTCGACATATCGCATTCGGACCGCAAGGTGAAGGTTGACAGGGATCTACGGGTGGTTGTGGTTCTTCCGCTGCAATGTTTAAAGTGTTACAAATGTCTTGACATAATATAAATTATATATGACAATATAAGTCTATAGTTTCATGAAATTCTTACGTTGACGAATACATTGAACAAATGGATCTCCCGTGTACAAAGGCGGGCAACTGCATATAGGATTGTGATTCACAACGGTACATTGTGCGGTTAATCCACATGCACCGAGGCATGGATCAATGCATTTTTGATTGCTGCAGGCTCTATTACGGGCACAATCGGCGCTTATAAGACATTCTGGTCTACAGGATGGTGGAGCGCCTCTAAAGCCGGCAATGCACGCGCAAATGGCTTGATTATTTGACACACGACAATGGCTATTTGGACCACATGGGGATGGATTGCACGGTTGTTCCACGATGGTCGAATCTATTTAATAATTATTATTTCATTCTTACATCAGGAAATATTCTCGAAATGAATACTTTCATCGCGCTTGAGAATCGTACAAACCTTGAAGAGGTGTACAGGATACGAATGCGCTACCAGTCATATTTCTTGGGCAACTACACATGGGCAAATGATTAACAACAATGCATTCCGCGTTAACGCCGCATGTCCCAATGCACGGATCGCGACATTTGTGGAGCATGCATGCTTTATCGCGAGGACAATCGGTGTTAATCACACATTCTGGTCGACAGCCGACGTAAGGATCTCCTAAGTATTCGGGTATACATGTGCAAACTCCGTTGTTACACTGTGTGTTCTGACCGCACGGTGATGGATTGCATCGGTCTGGGGGAAGTACTGAAATGTGCACAGATCAAATTGCAGTAATTTAGAGCAGTAAGTAATATATTTGTTAGGATAATAACAAGACGGAAACTCAAGTTCTTACAAGGTATCTGAGGTAAAACGTTGCAACTGATGAAGGGATCGCCAGTATAGCTTTCAGGACATATGCATGATGGTGTATGATTAATAACAGAACAACGCGCTAAGAGGCCACATGATCCTGGACAAGGATCTCTACATTTTTCTCTGATACAAGCTCTATTAGCGGGACAATCCGAATTTATTGAACACTCGGGTCGACAATTAGGTGGAACACCCATGTAATTTTGCATGCAACTGCACGCTGGTGCATCACCAATGGCTCTGCATAAGGCATTGGGGCCGCAAGGTGAGGGCAAGCATGGATCCTTTAGATATTGGTCTTCTGGTTTCGAAACTACGAAAAAGTATAAGTAACATTAACATTCTTAGTGCATGTAAAAATAGATAGCATTAATCAAAAGTTAATAAGGTCAACTTAATTTTAATAAATTTTAAAATTTTATAAAAAAGCTATTGTGTCCTACAGAACATACTTGCCACCGCGAAGCAATAGATGAAAGGGTCGCCTGTATAGCCATTTGCGCAGACACAAATAGGACTGTGATGTACGACTTTGCATTGAGCATCGCGACCACAAGTGCCGATGCATGGATCTACACATTTTTGATTAACACATGCTCGGTTCGAACCACATTCTGAATTTACTAAACATTCCGGTCTACAATTTGGCGGAGTTCCAATAAACTGAGGCAAGCAGGAACAGACAGCTTGGCCATTATTATTGGTACATTGACTGTTGGGGCCACAAGGAGAAGGCTTGCATGGTTCACGCTTCTCATCGGGAACTATAATAATATAATATTTACAATACCACTTTTATATATTCATTTTCTTAGATATATATATGCCACTTTGTATATTAATTTCTTACATTTGTTTCTGTTACTTACTGCTGAGAGTCTGATAAATGCAGTTTATGTAAGGATTGCCAGTGTAACCAGGGATACAAGTGCAAACGGGAATATTGTTAACAACTTGGCAATTGGTATTGGTACCACACGAACCAGGACATGGATTCTGACATTTTGATCCAATACAAGCTAAATGTGCGGGGCAATCTGACGAAATGGTACATTCGGGACGGCATCCTTCATAGGGATTCCCAATATATTCAAGTAAACATGTACAAGAACCGACGCCATTTTGTTCTCTACATACAGCATTTGTTCCACAAGGGGATGGTTGACAAGGTTGTCTTGGTGCCGGTGGTTCGCCTAAAAAAACATAATTTTATCCTATCCATAACATCAATTTCGAATTAATACCTTCTTAATTAATAATATTATAGAACTCTATTGATTAAGTTTCATAGTTATAGTATTACTATAACTATGTATACTAATAATCAAAGTGTAATATTAAAAAGAGTTATTGATAACAATGAATACAATGCTAATCATTTAATAAGGCGTTTATAAAAAAAAATACTTAGAAATTAAGTCAATTTGAACTTACTGGGCATGATCGTGCATTGAACAAATGGATCGCCTGTGTAACCGACGCGACACGTGCAAGTGGGCACATGATTAACGACGTAGCAATTAGCCAGAGAGTGACAAGATCCAGGACATGGGTCTCTACATTTTCGATTAATACATGCCATTTGACTCGGACATTCGCTGTTACTAATGCACTCCGGTCTACAGTTCGGTGGTGTCCCAATGAACTCTATCGTGCAAGAACACGATGGCGTATCATTGATGACTTGGCACTGAGAATAAGGACCGCAAGGCGATGGTTGGCACGGATTTATCGGTTTTGGAATATCTTCCGCTTTAAGATAAAAATATATAAATTGTTATGTGTTTGTGCGTCTAGTATTTTTAGTAATCATCAGAAACCTACGTCTTGGTACACAACGTATAAACGGATCGCCAGTAAATACAGGAGGACAGGTGCAAACTGGATTATGATTCAACACTTGGCAACGAGCGGATATACCACACGCACCAAGGCAAGGATTGCCGCATTTCATGTTGATGCAAGCTTCGTTCAGTGCACAATCAGTATTAACTATGCACTCGGGTCGGCAGGCTGGCGGATTTCCTATGAATCCAGTTATACACGTACATACTGCTTGATTATTAAAATTCTGACATCTACTATTTGGACCGCAAGGCGATGGGTTACATGGATTCTCAATAACGGTTTGATCTGCAAAAGCAATTATTGTCGAAATCGTTTTCGTTTCAAGACATCTTTGAGCAAATTAATAATTTAAAAAAATTAAATCAAATTAAATTTTTTCGCGACAAAATAATTCCTGTGACAGGAATCTTTAGTTAATCATTGTCCCTAGTATGCAAAATAACACACGATTGTCAATTAATTTTACCTTGAACGACCGGATAACACGCAGCAAACGCATTGCCGGACATTCCATCTGGGCAGGCGCACATTGGAGTGTGATTTATCACTGTGCACTTCGCATTTTGCCCGCAAACTCCAATGCACGGATCAAAACACTTATTACGAACGCAAGCTTTGTCTAATGGACAATCCGGATTTTGTACACATTCTGGTCGACATGCGGTGTAAGGATCACCATGGAACTCGGGCATACAGGTGCAAATGCCGTCGCGACATACTGCGTTAGCTCCGCACGGGGACGGATTACAAGGATCTTGTGGTATAGAAGCAGCTGCAAATGTCATTATCCATTTTAAATTAATGTTTCTGCTTTTAAAGATCTAACGATACAGAACATATCTTTCCAATTTTGTGTTTTGAAATTTTCTAATATACTGTTCATTTTGTAATAATTATCTTCACATAGTAAAAACATTTGATGTATATAACTCATTATAATAAATTTATAATCGACGTTAATTTTTTTTCACAATGCTTAAATTATAAATTAAATATTTAAAATTTGCTGAGAAAAGTTTATTAAAAAATTAATTCATAAAACTTAATTCTTAATTTCTCTTTTATCAGTCATGAATAATATATATGTTGTATGAAATATGTATGAAATAAATGCTTACGAGCAGGTTCTGGAAAGCAATTAGCAAACGCATCCCCGGTGTAACCTTTCGGGCAGAGACAGACGGCCATGTGATTAACCACGAGACATTGGGCACCGATACCACACGAGCCAGGGCACGGGTCTCTGCATTTTTGTCTCAAGCAGGCTTGATTATTGTTGCACTCAGAATCAACGGTACATTCTGGCCTACAATTCGGAGGACTACCAATGTAATTTTCCATACACGTGCACGTTGGCACGCCCGCGTAGCCGCTATCGCGACAAGTGGCAAATGGACCACAGGGGGATGGAACGCACGGATTTTCTGGCGTTTGAGGGGTATCTTTGTCTATAACTGTAAACGAATAATTTTTTTTAATATTATACAAAATGTTTACGTTACATACTTAAAAACGTACGCTTTCTTAATTCAAATCAAATTTTATACAACACGTATATGCAACGACATTTTAAACAAGCATCTTTCAGCATACTTACGCGTTTGGAAACATGTTACAAAGGGATCACCGGTAAAACCTTGATTACAACTGCAAATCGGACTATGATTAATCACTTCACATCTTGCATTGATGCCACAAATTCCGGGGCATGGATCAACGCATTTACGATTTTTGCAAGCACGATTTACGGGGCAATCGGAACTGACAGTACATTCCGCACGACAGCTCGGTGGGGTTCCGATAAATGTGGGTAAGCAAGAGCACACCGCTTGACCATTTAATTCACGGCACTGACTATTAAGTCCACAAGGAGAAGGACTACATGGATTAAGTTCTAATGCTAAAAAAAGAAGATTATAAGTTAAATTTTGTAAAATTATGAGAATTTTACATGATCGAAATAAGTGTAACATTCGCATAAAATTGTAAAACAATTATTGATTTGTGACTTGTACTGACAATTCATTGTTATAAAATTCTACAGATGTTACTACATTACAATTAATTTTAGATAACTTAAAAGTTTTGAAAATATTTCGATAAATCGAAGATTAATTATTAGATTAAATTAAATTGCATCTTCTAAGAACTTGAAGCACTTACACATATCTTGTACAATTCTGTTACAAGAGACGAATGGGTTGCCACTGTATCCAGATTGACATGTGCACAACGGCGCGTGATTCACTACTTGACAAATCGCATTATATCCGCAAAAACCTGGACAAGGATTCTGACACTTCGATCCGACGCACGCTCGATCTGCGGTGCAATCGGAGTTTATCGTACACTCGGGTCGACAACCTTCGTATGGATTGCCTGTATAATCTGATAGACACATGCAAGAACCAACACCATTCGATTCGCGGCATACCGCATTAAAACCGCACGGTGACGGAATACAGGGTGTTGGTTTTACAGCACTTATAACGTCGCCTACGAAAAATATCATTTGTTTTTAAGGCAATGTTCTAGTAAATTATCAATGAGCATCCCAGAAAATCACCGAATGTATTTTCGATTGCAGATACTAAAATAATTTAATAAAATAATTGCCATAATAGCGAAGCATTAAGTTTGAATCAAATATTAAAACTATAATAAATTACAATAATAAATAAGTTATATATGTATATATAATAATGGGAATAAAATAATATATACACGTATAAATAATAACAAAATATAATAATATTCTTATATTTTATTTTTTACTTAAATTAAACTTGATTCTTAATGCAATCTTGATAAAAATTTAATTTAATCACCATTTAATGTCAAAAATTAAAAATTTGTCATAATATCGACAATCAGAAATACATTCTGTGATTCTAAGTACTTTAGACAATACATAATTACTGCACTTACTTTGCTTGGGATTACATAGTACAAACGGATCTCCTTCAAATCCGATAAGGCAAACACACATAGGTGTGTGACTTATTACTCGGCAATCAGAATTAATACCGCAGGAACCCGGACATGGATCGCGACACTTCTGATTGATGCATGCTAGCTGTGTAGAACATTCACTATTGCTAACGCATTCGGGTCTACAATTTGGTGGATTGCCAATAAATTCTGGCAAGCAAGAGCAGGAGTATGCGTTGTTTACAACTTCGCATTTACTATTAAGTCCACATGGAGATGGAACGCAGGGATTAATGGGCATTGGAGATTCTATCGCTGTTAGGAAAAATAAAAAATACAATGTTTTCTTAACGATAAATACCTCCAATACTACCGATCAACTATTGCTTTTAAATTACTCACGTCTTGGAATACACTGAGTGAAGGGATCTCCGGTTAATTCAGAGGAACAAGAACAAATCGGATTGTGGTTGACTACAGTACATTGGGCTCTGATGCCGCACGTTCCAGGGCAGGGATCTATACATTTTTGATTATTGCAAGCTCTGTTAGCGAGGCAGTCGGAACTAATAATGCATTCCGCTCGGCAATTAGGTGGTGCATCCAAGTATCCAGGGAGACACGAACAGACAGCTTGTTCCTTTATCTTTCGACACTGACTATTCGGTCCACAAGGTGATGGATTACATGGATCTTTTGGTATCGTGTCTATTTAAATGTTAAAAAAAAAAAGAATATAATTATAGCAAAGAATAGTTACAATATCAATAATTTATGACACAATCTGAAGGTAATTGAATGAGTACCAGCTATTGGGGAGCACTGTACAAATGCGTTGCCAGACATCCTCTGTGCACAAGTGCAAACTGGTATATGATTTATAACAGAACACAAGGCATTGACACCGCAAATTCCAAGACCACACGGATCTTGACATTTGTTCTTAATGCAAGCCCGGTGTCTTGGACAGTCTGAATTTAAAATACATTCTGGATGGCATCCAAAGTTTGGATTTCCTTGATATTCGGGAAGGCAACTGCATATACCGTTAAAGCATTGCGTGTTCGCGCCGCAATTTAAGCACGGATCTGTCGGTTTGAGTGTTGTATCTGAAGAATGAATTTTAACACTTAGTTTACGATAAAGCTTATTGTGAGTTTTAAGTATTGAGATATTTTTCCACACTATAAATATCATAAAGAAATATTCTCAGGCTTGTCTATTACTATGAATGATATTACAAATTTTCTTCTAATTGTCTTACCTTCTTCGGGAATTGATCTACACATAACAAATGGATCTCCAGTGAATCCACTGGAACAAGAACATGTGGGTGTGTGACGAATGACGTTACAAATTGCTCCTACTCCACAAACTCCATCGCAAGGATTTCGACACTTTCTCTGTATACACGCTTGATTAATCGGGCATTCTGGATTAACTGAACATTCGGGTCTGCAATTGGGTGGTGTTCCTATATATGTTGACAAACAAGCACAAGATGCTTGACCGTTAATGTCACGGCATTCTGAATAAGGTCCGCAAGGTGAAGGTGCGCAAGGGTTCACAAATGGACGAGGTTCTTCATCTTTAGCTATGGGCATACAAATATATCTGCTATATATATATATTCTTTTCCTCCTATATTTTTGATAACGTGTTTCAATACAATTTTTCTAATCATCAAAACAATAGAAAAATAAAATCACATTTCTAATATGAAAAAGTTATTTAAAAAAAATACGGAAAGCAAAAAGAAATTTTTCTCAAAAGAATATATTCAAAATTTAAGAAAATATTTCTTCGATCAATTATTTTCAATGATTCTTACATGGCATTTCAAAGCAGGCAACGAATGGATCACCGGTAAAACTAGGTGGGCACGAGCAAATGGGATTATGATTAATCGTTTCACATCTTGCGTTGGAACCGCACAATGTACGACAAGGGTCGTTACACTTATATGAGATACATGCTAGATTGAAAGCGCATTCAGCACTAACAGTGCATTCAGCGCGACAATTTGGTGGGCTGGCTACCCATTGGAAATCAGGTAAACAAGTACAAACGCTCGTATTATCCACAACGCGACACAAGCTGTTAGGTCCACATGGTGACGGTTCACAAGGATTACTGACAGCATTTTCTCCTTCTAAAAATTGCATTATTTCATAAATTAACCACATTTCGTTATGAACCGAATTGCAACTAACGATAAGTATATTCAGATACAATGTAACCATACCTATTTCTATCGGAGTACAATATGAAAAGGCATCGCCGGTATATCTAGGATAACAATTGCATACTGGCAAATGGTTAACAACTTGGCATAACGCATTGCGCCCGCACGATCCTGGGCATGGATCTCTACATTTCATATTTACACAAGCTAAGTTGGCAGGGCAATCCGAATTTAAAACACATTCCGGCCTGCATCCTTCGTACGGATTGCCAGTGTAATTCGGCAAGCACGTACACGAACCGGCACCGTTGAATTCCTTGCACACCGCATTAGAACCGCAAGGAGAGGGATTGCAAGGATCAATTGGTGCAGGCGGCAATGGTGTGGCTAAAAAGTGGTATTAGTAAGCATAGAATTTATCAAAATTCATATAATTTACAAAAAACATTATATAAATTTTTATAAATTTATATATTTTTTATAATATAAATTCATTAAAATTTATATAATATATATATTTATATAATATAAATGTATGTAATTTGTATAATTAACAAAAGAATAAAAAAAAGATGTGAATATTTCTGTAAAAAATAGGTATCAAAATCATATTGATTTTTGATATTCTATAATTACGGCGATGTTTTATTTTAATAAAATTTATTTGTGATAATATGTAATGTTATAATTCTGGTGCAAGATATTCTGTATTTCAAACATGTAGAAATTATCAAAATTATATCAGTTTTTCCCAAATGATACTTACGTTCTCTTAAGATGCATTGAGTAAATGGATCACCGGTATAACCATTTATACAAGAACACATCGGGGTGTGACTGACAACGTGACAATTAGCGTTCGCACCGCAGGAACCAATGCATGGGTCCCGACATTTCTTATTAATACAAGCTAAATGATTAGAACATTCGCTATTACTGACGCACTCCGCTCTGCAATTTGGCGGACTGCCAATGAAATCGGGCAAACACGTGCACACAGATTCATCGCCGCGTGGTTGGCATTGTGAATTGGGACCGCACGGGTTTGGCTTGCATGGTGTGAGAGGTAATACAGGTATTTGAGCTAAAAGGACAAAGTTCGATGCATAAAAAAAAGAACAAAGATTTTCTCGAAACTTCCGCATTGATCATAAACATGGACATAACAAGCAGTACTTACGTGGTGATAAATAGCATCTAACAAAAGGATCACCCGTTTGAGAGGGTGGACAAATGCAAATCGGATTATGATTCACTACTTGACAGGATGCACCTAATCCACAACTTCCAGGACAAGGATTCGTACATTTCTGATTGCTACAAGCTTCATTCTGGGGGCAATCCGTGCTGACTATGCATTCGGGCCTGCAGGTCGGAGGACTACCTAAATATCCTCTTATACAGGAGCAGACCGCCTGATTATTTATAACACGGCATTCACTATTTGGTCCGCAGGGTGAAGGGGTGCATGGATTAGCGAGTGGTATGTCTGGTATACAAAAATAATAGATATTTAATCCCCAGGAATAATTTACGAAAAAATGTTACTTCACATAATTTTATAGTATTGAAAATAAAGGTGATCCTTATCGTAAATATTGGGAAGCTTATATATACCTTGTAGAGGTGTACATTGGCTAAATGCATTGCCAGTCATATTTCCAGGGCAACTGCACATGGGAATGTGACCGATCACGGTGCATAATGCGTTAACAGCGCAAGCTCCAGGGCATGGATCCAAGCATTTGTTACGTATACACGCTCTATCGCGGGGACAATCCGCATTTAGGACGCATTCCGGTCGACAACCTACATTCGGATCTCCTCGGAATTCCGGTAGACAAGTACAGATACCATCAAAACATTGCGCATTAGGACCACAGGGTGACGGAACGCAGGCATCTTCGACCGGGGATGGAGTCGCTGCAAAATATAATCGATATAGGGATTAACGAGCTCGTTTCACGCTATGTGATTCATGTTAAGATTTCAAGTTAGATATTGGACGGCTCGTATTGCTTACTTATTGCTGGCAAGATCTCGCAAAGAACAAACGTATTTCCAGTGTATCCCTCGGGACATCTGCACGTGGGAATATGGTTAATAACCGAACACAGAGCATTGGTGCCACACGATCCGGGACATGGATCCACACATTTCATATTGATACAGGCCTTATCACTCGGACATTCTGAGTGTATAGTACATTCAGGTCTGCAATTAGGTGGTTGACCAATATAATTTTCCAAGCATGTACACGCGGGAGAATCACCGATATTTCTGCATTGAGAGAAGCTACCACACGGGGATGGTACACAAGGGTCTTTCTGTACTAGTGGTGGCGTTATAGCTGGAAAATGTTTGGAGTTATAATTGGTGACGATTATGTGACATATAGCAATATATGTTGAGAGATTGTATTAATATAATCTTCATGAATTTGATGGTCTTACGTGGAATTAAAGAGCATATGGTGAATGGATCTCCACTATAACCGGACATACAACTACAAATGGGGCTATGATTAACGACCACACAATTAGTATTGAGTCCGCATGGGCTTGGGCAGGGGTTCACACATTTGTAGTCCTTGCACACTAATTGTGGGGAACATTCTGAGCTAGCGACACATTCAGGTCTACATGCAGGTGGAGTTCCAACGTATGTCGGAAGGCATGAACAGACAGCCTGTCCGGATACTTCTTTGCATTTGCTGTTGGGTCCACAGGGTGATGGGGCGCAAACATTTTCATCGGAGATTATTTCTGGGAAAATTTAATATATTAGTAAAATTATGTAGATAAATATAAAAACATTCATAAAATTTATTTCTAAATGTAATTAATTTTTAATTACATTTTAAAATTGTTTACATAAAAATATAAAATATAAAAAATTTATTTTTTTTCTTTGAAAAATGTAAAAATTTTGAATATTAATTAAAAGTAACAGTTTAAAAAAGGTTTTAAATCTTTTGCTTTAAATTTTCTTTTTAATAAAGTTAAAAATTTTTTAAACACAAAAAGATGTTAACTACTATATGGAATATCTCATTTAAATTTCAATAATTATGTAATAAGACTCATATAAAAACAAAAAAAAAATCAAGATATGCAATATTTTTTGGATTCAACATTTTGTACGATATTTCTATCATAAAAAAATATCGCAAAATAAAATTAGACTATTTGATTAAAAACACTTACTGTCTATAGAACAAGAAATGAAAGGATCTCCGGTATATCCAGGAAGACATGTGCATATCGGTTGATGATTAACGACCGAGCACTCAGCGTTTCGACCGCACATACCGGCGCAAGGATTGGTGCATTTGTTTCTTACGCACATCAGATTGGATGCACAATCAGGATTAATAATGCATTCGGGTCGACACGCTAAGTACGGATTACCGACATAGCTAGAGATACACTGACATATTGCGACACTATCTCGCTCTCTACATATCGCATTCGCACCACATTCAAAGTTTACGCAAGGCGACGATACTGGTTCCAGTTCTATTGGGCGTGCTAAAACAACATAAAGGACAGATAGATTAAGCAACGTCGCACAAAAGTAAGGTCAGTTAATTTTGAAGAAAAGGTTTTATTATCATTTTATCCCTTACGTATCGCAGAGCAACGCGTGTACGGATCACCGGTGAGACCGTAGGAACAGACGCAATGGGGCACATGTTGTATCACATGACATTCCGCATTTTCCCCGCATAAACCTGGGCAGGGATCCCTGCATTTTTGTCGCACACAACTTTGATGGCTGGGGCACTCAGGATTTGAAATACATTCAGGTCGACAATACGGAGGAGAGCCTCTGTATTCAGGTAGACACGAGCAGGATGGTAAATCGTTAATGACTTGGCACTGAGCGTACGGACCACAGGGCGAAGGCTGACAAGGGTTTATTACTACAGGTGCTATTGGTTCTAAATGGAATAACAATCATGTTTCGATCTTAATCTGGTGACCGAAGCTTACGGATCTAAAGCTTACATACTTTGAATCAAGATTTTCTTACTCATAATATCGCATCTGATAAATGGATCGCCTGTGTAGCGCTCGGGGCACGAGCAAACAGGGTTGTGATTGACGACTACGCATCTTGCTTGGATGCCGCATGTACCGGGGCAAGGATTTTTGCATTTTTGATTAGCGCAAGCTTCGTTCGGTCGGCAGTCAGAACTAAGGGTACATTCGGGTCTGCAGAGAGGCGGTGCACCGAGAAACTCTGGTGCACAAGTACACACAGCTTGTTCATTTAATTCTCTACATATGCTGTTTGGACCACAAGGATTCGGGCTGCATGGTCTTGTCACGGAAGGGACTACATATAATAAAGTAGATACTAATTAGCATATTTTCGTGAATCAGATTTCTCGCTTCTGATATCATACCTCTTATTACATCACAAGAAATGAATGCGTTTCCAGAAGTACCAGGGGGACAACTGCACATCGGTGTGTGATTTATCACATTGCATAAACTATTGTGTCCACACGTACCCGGACAAGGATCGACACATCTGTTTCGTATGCATGCTTTGTCGGTTGAGCAATCTGTACTAAGTACGCATTCTGGTCGACAGCCAACGTATGGATCACCAAAATATTCAGGTAAACAAATACAAATGCCATTGTTGCATTGAGCGTTTGGTCCACAAGGTGATCTACTGCATGGATCAGTTGGCTGTGTTGGCTCATTGTCTATATATTATTACAATTATCAAATGAAGTTGTAAATACACTGGAAAATATATAATTGCAAAAATGAAGAAAATTTTGATATAAACTTACAGATCGGTACAGGCTGACAACCAATAAATGGATCACCAGTATAACTTTCTATACATCTGCAGATTGGAATGTGGTTATGGACAGTACAATCGGCATTCAGACCACAAGAACCTGGACAGGGATCTTGGCATCTTTCACGAATACAAGCTTGATTGCTCGGACAATCGGCAGGAATAATGCATTCGGGACGACAATTTGGTGGTGTACCAATGTAATTAATCATACAAGAACAGGATGGATAACCGTTGACGTTGCGACATTGCGAATTAGACCCGCATGGTGAGGGTATGCAAGGGTCCGAGGGTAGGCTTGGTAAGTAACTCGGAGTAGCTAAAATTTATAATAAAATCTCTAAATCTCAACAAAACATTATAAAAAATGCTTTTAAAATAAAATAAAATTATATAACTATTTTTTAAATTAAAAATATTAAAAAAATTCTGTGTAATTAAAAAAAATTTTTTTACATTTCTAAGAATATAACTCTGTTACTTCATGTAACAAAAGTTTTACATAAAAACAAAGGAAGATTTTAATGCAAATACAATTATTTCTAAAAAAAAATAACAAACTATTAACATTTTTTAAATATAAAAAATGAACTGTAGAGTAAAAGTTATAATGTACTCGTATATAAGATTTGTTCCGCTTACGTGGTACAAATAGGCAGCGTATAAATGGATCACCGCTGAATCCGGGTTTGCACATGCATATTGGACTATGGTTTACAACTCTACACGTCGTGCCTTGACCGCAAGAGTTAGGACAAGGATCAATACACTTATTATTTTCACAAGCTCGATTTGTAGCACAATCTGTACTAACTGTGCATTCGGGTCTACAACCGGGTGGTGCGCCGATATAAGTCGGTAAACAAGAGCAAACAGCTTGACCGTTGCTTTCTTTACATTGACTATATGGTCCGCAAGGGGATGGTTGACAAGGATTAACGTTATCTGCTATAACCGCTGCAAGAAAGTCAGGTATTTAAAATCACATAATTGTCTATAAAATAAATGCGCACGAGATTTTTAAGCGAGTTCTTACGGGCTTCAACAATAAGATTGCAGAATATGAATGGATTTCCCGTGTACCGCTCAAAGCAAGTACAGGTTGGTGCATGATTAATCACGTAACATTGCGCGTTTTGGCCGCATGTTCCTGGACACGGATCTTTACATTTTAAACCAATACATGCTTGATTGGACGGACAGTCGGAATTGAGTGTACACTCAGGTCTGCATCCTTCATAAGGATTGCCAATATAATCGGTTGAGCACGAGCAAGAACCAGCATTTTGCTGAACTCTGCATACTGCATTTGCACCACACGGAGATGGGGTGCATGGCGTGGATATACTAGGCTGTATGTCGACTAAAATAAGAATAAAAAAATAATTTGATTATCCATTCTTAAACGAAAACGTACTTGATAAAGCTCATAATAATAATCTAATATTAATTTCGTTATTAATTCTTTCACATATAAAAAGTTTGTGGATTAATAGAAATCGAATAAAAGTTGAAATAAATCTGACTTCTAAACTATTTGAATTATTCTTTAAAATTCTCTTACATTGTTGGGGAGAACATTGCGTAAACGGATCGCCAGTGTAGCCGGGGGTGCATGCGCACATCGGTGTGTGACTAACAACATTGCAAACGGCATTGACGCCGCATGCATTGATGCACGGATCGCGACATTTTTGGTTGATGCAAGCCATTTTGTTCGAGCATTCGCTATTGCTGATACACTCAGACCGACAGTTCGGGGGTGATCCAATAAATTCTTGCAAGCATGAGCAAGAGGGTTGATCATTAATCACTTGGCATTGTGCGTTTGGTCCACACGGTGATGGTTGACAAGGATTAAGTACAGGTAATGGCTCCTCAGCTTTAAAAGTAATACCGATTAATATTAACTGAGGTACTATATTAAAATTTATTTATGCTATGCGCATGTTCGAAGTAATAAAATAAAATGAATCGCGGAAATTAGTTCGTAAAACGTTATTTTAGAAAGAATAAGAAAAAAATTTTCTTACGAAGGGGGAAACAATTAATAAACGGATCTCCGGTCATCCCAGAACGACAGACGCAAATAGGATTGTGATTAATGACGTTGCAGACTGTGTTGCGACCGCAACTTCCCGGACAAGGGTCCTGACATTTTTGATTGGTGCATGCTTCATTCTTCGGGCAATCTGAGCTAATTACACATTCGGGCCTGCAAGTCGGAGGCGCGCCGACAAATCCACTTATGCAACTACATACAGCCTGCATATTATTTTCTCGACATTGACTATTCGGACCACACGGAGACGGATTACATGGGTTGCTAATGGGTGGCGCTATAAGAAAAAAATTTTAATTATAATATATAATAAAGATTTGATGTACTAAGAATACGGATATTATTGAGTATTAAATAAGATCATTTAATATTTTGATATATCAGTGTTGTTACGATTAGGATTTCCAAAGAATACCTGGCACGAGAGAACATAGGACGAAAGCATTTCCATCCATTCCCGAGGGACAAGTACACATAGGAACATGATTGTACACATTGCACATAGCATTTTGGCCACAAACACCTGGACAAGGATCCACGCATTTATTTCGCACGCACGCTCGCGTATTCGGACAATCGTTATTCAATACGCATTCTGGTCGACAACCGCTATAAGGATCCCCAAAATATTCTGCTATACAAACGCAAATTCCTCCATTACATTGCGTATTGGATCCGCAAGGCGAAGGTGTGCATGGGTCCGGTTTGGAAGGGGCAACAATGACTGCAATAATTCCGCGTAAGAAGAAGATCAAGTACGTTATAATAAGAACAAAAAATTATTATTATATATTTCTGATAGGGAATCTTACGTGGTTTTACGGAACATCCAATAAAAGGGTCGCCAGTGTAATCAGGCAAACACGAACAAATTGGTACGTGATTTATGACACTACATTCGGCCATGATGCCGCATGAGCCTGGACAGGGATCTTTACATCTTTGCTGCATACAAGCCATATTAGCTGGGCATTCTGCATTAATTGTGCATTCTGGTTTACAATTTGGCGGACTGCCTCTGTATGTTGGTAAACAAGAACATGATGGCACTCCTCCTATATCGCGACATTCGGAAAACATGCCACAAGGTGATGGTATGCATGGATCTCTCGTAACATCACTTACAACAGGCGGACTCACTGCAACGAATTATGAACAGTTTGAGAGCTATACAACTGTTATAAAATCTAATTGATTGCATATCACATTTCCATTTCTACACAACTTGTAAATTAATCAACAGTGAAAGACTTATTATTTCTCATTGTGCCAAAAATTAGACTTTCTAAATATTATCAACCTAAGTATTATTTATCGATTCAAAGAAAATTAAAACAGAGTTATACGTGATCTCGGAATAATTTTTAGTATTTTAGAAATAAGTATTCGATCGAGATTTGAGTATATTTATTTATTCGGGTATATGTATATAAGATATCCCATTTTTTAATTTTCACATCGAAATATTTAAAAAAATATATAAGATACAAAAAAATGCTTCAGACAAATATTGTTATGGCTCGATATGGTACAAATAATAATAAAATCGAATTTTTAAAAACTATCCATACAATATATCATACTTATATGAAGAGTGACTATTTTTCTAAGTAAAGTTGTATGATTTCATTTACATAATATAATTTCTCTAGCTATTCTGTATATAAAAGGCCATTATTTATATTTTTCGAGATATTTTAATGTTAAAGTTAAAACAGGACACTATATATAGGTCACCGAAAATTAATATTAGACAAAATTTAAAATCGTACCAGGTGTCTGGAAGCAAACAGTAAATGGATCACCAGTAAAACCGTTCTTGCAAGAACAAATCGGATTATGTTTGATGACTCTGCAATTCGAATTTCTGCCGCAAGAGCCAGGGCAAGGATCTTGGCACTTTTGATTCAAACAAGCAAGATTGAGGGAACAATCCGAACTTGTTACGCATTCAGGGCGACATGCAGGTGGATTACCGATGAAGATCGGTAGGCAAGAACAGACTGCTTGATTGTTATTAACACGACACTGGCTGTTGGGTCCACAAGGCGACGGATTGCAAACATCTCTCGGAGTATCGACTAAAATGATAGATGTATCTTTCAAATTTTTAAGATATTAAAGAAGGAAAGATTATTTAAAGTATTTTCATTTACAAAAATATTAAGATATAATTATTATTACACATTCTTAAAATAACACGCGTTAAAAAATTATTTAAAAACAAAACATTGATATCATAATATTGTGAATCTTGTCAAATGTATAAAATAAAAAATTTTAAATAAAACAAGAAAAATGTACAAAATCTCAATAAGAGAGATATAAAGTTGCTCAGTATTCAAGAAAATATTCGTACCGACGCGTATTACAGTGCAATATTGGAAGGGATTGCCACTATAACCGGAAATACATGTGCAAGATGGTCGATGGTTGATAACTTGACATTCGGCAAATTGTCCACAGACACCAGGGCATGGATCTCTGCATTTTGATTGTACGCAAGCAAGAATAGATATGCAATCTGTATCAACCACGCATTCTGGTCGACATCCTTCGTAAGGATTGCCGACATAATCTGGTAAGCAAGAACAGGATCCGACACCAAACTGTTCCTTGCAAATGGCATTAAAACCACAGGGGGACGGTTTACAAGGTGATAGTGGGATTGGTGTGGCTGAAAATAGAATATAAAATAGAAAATGTTCCAAGCAACTAATTTTTAACAGTAATTTTTTAAGAAAAATTAAAAAGTTTATGTCTAGACTCTAAAAAAAAGATTGTCAATAGGATTCTATAATTCATATAAAAATCGAAAACTAAACATGCTCGGATCTAAATATAATTTAATTCTGTATGTATAAGATCGATGCTTACGTAGTCTCATAGTACACTGTGTAAATGGATCGCCGGTGAAATCGCTAGGACAAACACACATGGGTGTATGACTCACTACACGACATTCGGCGTTAGCTCCGCAGGAGCCTTCGCAAGGATCCCTACATTTCTGATTCATACACGCTAAATGAGCAGGGCATTCACTATTGCTAATGCATTCGGGTCTGCAATAAGGTGGCAAACCCAAGAATTCAGCTAGACATGAACATGAGGGAGCATCGCCTACAACCCGACACTCGGCATTTGCTCCACAAGGAGATGGCACACAAGGATTTGTTTGCAACACGGGTTCGGGTGCTAATGGAAAGAAAAATATCGAATAAAATTTTAAGACTAAATAAGTTTAAAATCAAAAATTTATGTTATAATTATTTTGATCAATATGTTTAAATTACTCAAGATGTTAGATAAAATAAAGCTTATTATTTCCAATGAAAATCCTTTTAAATTCTTATGAAATGTGTGTTTATTATAGAGGAGAGTTTTGAGTGCGTGTATTTTGGTGCGCGCGCGCCAAAATCATACCATATATTATTTTTTATTATTTTTCCATTTAATACTGATTTGTACATAAATATATAAACATTAGAAATTGTAACTTGATGTTACAGACATCTATTATTACATATTAAACTTTTTATCAATAACAAATCAATTTATTATAAGTCTTTTTATACTATACTACAAAAGGTACGATTTAGATTAATTTAATTGCTTAGATCGTATCTATAGGTCTTTTAAACCGTATCTGCTTTAAAAAAGTATCGAATTTATAAATAAAAATAATTAAGAATATAAGATATTAAAAGAATATAAGATTAGAAAGAATCATTAACTAATACTCAATTTTAATAATAATCAATTTTATCAAAAAAAAGAAAAGATAAAGAGATTTTTATAATTAAATTTATTGAAAATTATTTAATAGTTATTAAATAACGATAATGAGAAAGCAAGAAATAAAACTGGCTTGGGTTTATTTTTACAATTGTATTCATATCAATTATTATTATCAATTATCAGTCTTACTTTGTGGCAATATTTCAGAAACTTGAGAGTTTCATAAAAATATCGATTTAGTTGTCATAATAACAATATATCGGTAAATTTCAGCTAGCTGTCTTACTCTCTTACTCTGTTATGTTCTTATTCTTTTACTCTTTTATTTATTTAATAGATAAATTATCATGTATGGAACAATTGGCCCTAAATATTATATTAAGTAATAATATAAAATAACGATAAGACATGATTTTACACGACCGGTATGCATTGGATAACTCTCCTCTACTTGTTTGTTATATAATAACAAATATTATGTAAAGTAATAAAATTATCTTTTGCTTTTTATTGCCAATTTTTAACGTATTTGAAACTTAAAAAAAAACAGAATATTTTCTTTTACATCTCTACATATTACATCTAAATATTAAGCAATAAACATTAAAACAGGTATTAATGTTAATTGCTTAATGACTCTTTGCAATTGATATTTGTTCTTACGTCGTGGAATACACCGAATGAATGGGTCTCCGGTGAGTTCTCCGCAGCTACATATAGGATTATGATTGATTACTTGACATGTAGCTTGAATTCCGCATGCACCGAGACAAGGATTTATGCATTTTTGATTGCTACACGCTTCTGTCAGAATACATTCAGAACTGACAGTACATTCCGGTCTGCATGCTGGCGGAACACCAAGAAAGCCTGCCACACATGAGCACACAGGTTGCCCGTTGTTTTCTCGGCAAACACTATTGGGTCCACAGGGCGAGGGTGAGCAGGAATCTCTTTTTGGGATATCTAACATTCGGGATATAATAGCAATCTTACACTTTGTTTTCAAAAAAAAGTAATACAAGCAGTATCAATAACGATAATAGTAGAAAATAAATTGTTCAAACTTTAAAGAACTTTTTTTTTAAAGTTGACTCTACGATTATCATTATCGATAATCATTCATAGAAATTATAAATCGATCACATTGATTATTATTATTATACCTTCGACTATGGAACATTGAACAAAGGCATTGCCGGCCATTCCGGTCGGACAGGTGCACATAGGTACGTGATTGTATACGGAACATAATGCGTTTCGACCGCACGTGCCCGGGCAGGGATCCATGCATTTATTGCGCACACACGCACGATCGTGGGCGCAATCAGTATTCATGACACACTCGGGACGGCAACCCACGTAAGGATCACCTTGGTATTCAGGCAGACATATGCAGATGCCATTGTTGCATCGTGCATTCGGTCCACAAGGGTTCAAATTACAAGGGTCGATAACTGCAGGTGCCGCTGTAAAAGAATATGGATAAGGAACTGAACATTATGACAGAATTCGAAATAAAACTTCACGAAATGTAACGCATAAATTTCTTTCACGCAATATTTCAGACATGGAATCTGCGATTATATTGGTATCTAACGCATCGGAGTCTTTCAATTTATGTCAATCTAATCAATGCTGTAATGATAATTGTAACGAAACAATGTAAAAAAAAAAGCTTTAAAAATAAAGCATTAAATATTTATTTTTGTTTAAATTTCTATTTTTAAATGATAAATATAGCAAAATATTGACCAAACCAGACAATGCAAACATTAAAAAATCCACATAAAAAGTAAAAATGTCTTTCCAAAATTAAACATTCATGCTGTTTGAGCAAATTTAAGTTCTCTTATTATTTAGCATTCGCTGAAACTAAAACTACTATTAAAATATATGTAAAACGCGTCAAGAAGTATTGTGCATTCATACTTCGCGAAATTTTTTTTTAAACAAATTTTTCATAGCTTTAGGACTTTGGGAAGTCTCTTACTTGTTGGTCTGGGGTAACAATTAGTGAAAGGATCGCCAGTAAATCCTTCGGGACAAGTACACACAGGTATATGATTGTAGACTGTGCACAATGAAGTGATGCTGCAGGAGCCTAAACAAGGATCTCTGCATCTCTCATTGTTGCAGGCGAGATTCATCGGGCATTCGGAATTTACGCGACATTCAGGGCGACAATTCGGTGGTGATCCTCTGTAGGTCGGGAGACAGGAACATGATGGTGTACTACCAATATTCCTACACTCCGCATATATGCCGCATGGAGACGGTAAACAGGGATCTTTGGAGATTACAGGAAAATCTAGCGATTCTAGAAATCCAATAATAAAACAGCGTAATCATAACAAACTCGCCGTTTGTTCCAGAAATGTCTATTTTAGCAATAAATCAACTGCGTTTATGAGAGTGTTATAAAAAAATAATAAAATATTATTGTATATCATACGATATATCATAAATAGCATCAAAATGATTGATATTATGATATTATGACAAAGTGAATTGGGAACGATTGTAATGTTATTTCAAAGTTTTAAACCATGATTGTGAATTATGAAAAATAAACTTGTGATATGAATGAAAGAAGCTGATGACCATAAATAAACGAATGAATGAAGCGAATGATCATGAAAAATTAAGTTAATGAGAGAGACCAAGTTCTTACGTGGGGCGGGGAAACATCTCGTAAAGGGATCTCCGGTATAACCGAGATTGCAGATGCAAATGGGGCTGTGACTGATTACTCTGCATTGTGTGTTTATACCACATGGGTCCGGGCAAGGTGATATACACTTCTGATTGATGCAAGCAAGATCTTGAGAGCATTGGCTGTTCATTACGCATTCAGCTCGACAGTTGGGAGAGCTGCCGATAAAATTCGGGAGGCAAGTGCAAACGGCAAGGCCATTTATGTCTCGGCATTTACTATTTGGTCCACAGGGAGATGGGCTGCACGGATTTGTTTCTGGCAATACTGTGTGGAGAAAAATATTATTATATACTATTTTCTATGAATTATTCTAGGCAATAGTATATCGTCCTTTTATATTCAAACTAATATTATTTTCTTCAATATAATAAACTTCGTATTATATTGAGATCCATATTAAAAAATAAAATGAAGTACAGCAAAAATTGGAATTTAAATTATCTCTGTATATGTGCGATCAAACAGATCGCTTTAATTATTTTTTTAATTGAAAATATGTCTTGTGTCTATAAAATCATAATAAATATATTTGAAATTATTTTAAATAGCAAAATAAAAATCTGAGATAAATAATTTTTTTTACTTAGATTAAATAATTTTTTAAATAAATAATAATAAATAATTAAATTTTTAATAAATCTAAAATTTAACTTTTAAATGAAATATGTTTCTATAATTCTACATTATGTGTGTGTGTGTGTGTGTGTTTGTGTGTGTAAACATTCTATGATATGTACGCAGCTGCATACACATTGGAAATCGGAATTTTTTAAATACAATGAATAAAATATTTAATATGGAAATAAATCTTACGGATTTCAACTATTGGGGAACAGAGCGTAAAAGGGTTGCCGGTATAGCCGGGAATGCAAATACAAATCGGCAGATGATTAACCGATTGACATTGAGCATTCACTCCGCAAGTTCCTGGACAAGGGTCTCTGCATTTCAAGTTCATGCACGCCATTCTTGTCAAACAGTCAGAATTTTGCGTGCACTCGGGTCTGCATTCTTGATAAGGGTCACCTAGGTAGTCCGACAGACAGGTGCACGAGCCAACGCCATTGTTCTCACGGCAGACGGCATTGATGCCACAGGGGGAAGGCTCGCATGGTTTTCTAATGTCTAGGGGTGTATCTATTATAAAAAGAAATTTTATTTAGACTTCATTGAATACATGCAGCATTTTTTTCCAAAAGCTGGTGCTAGGCTGAGGAATTCTTTGACTTCCAACGGTTTTTCTCGCATTCGCATTTTCGCATTGCGAATTCCTAATAAGCAATAAGCCTCATATGGTAGTGCGACGTAATAGCTATGCATGGTTTAATGCTGGGATATCATCAGTTGACAAAATATCTCGAAGAGTTTGTCAGTTTTAGTGGGCAATATTTTCTAGCAATTGTTTCATCAAGCGTGTTCGATTTTCTATCAAATTAATTAATCGAGTTAATTACAGAGTGCGGGACACGATTGACAACATATTATTTCTTTGAGGACGGGACGACTATCCTATTTTGGGATATATTGTAGTGTGTTTCATCAGAGTTTGTTAAAACTTTTGTAGGAGTTGCGCTCTTTGCAGTAACATTTTTTGCATTATTGATCTATTCGAGAATGATATGTGCAGCATGATTATTGGGTGGTCCACAGCATATGTCATAGGTCAGAGTGCTCTTACATGTGAGTGGGTCTTTAACGGGTCAGTGCGTGCAATAAACATTTCAACATTAATCGCAGGGATTAGAGTTTTATCGCTTAGTTGCTCAGTGTCAATTAAGGGTACGTGCAGCCAAGAGCCTATTGGATAGGCCCCGTCACCAGTTTTGTGACTATCTGTCATTATTGTTTTTTCCTGCATTAGGTTTCTGGATCAGTACGCTCAGGCATGGGGGATGATTACGCGCTACATTGTTTTTTCTGTTAATTGTAGGGATTCGGAACACGTATACATAATCTTATGTTATTGATTTTAATCAGGAATGAGTGCAATTACGAGCCTAATATCTATAGGCCCCACCACCTAACACACATGATTATTGTCACCTCCTGTTAGACATCTCTTTGTGATTATGTGCTACTGTCGCACAAATATATTCTCACATTAACTTTATGTAATGGTTAAGACACGACAAGTTTCAGTCTGACTTCTAAAACTATATAATCACATATCTGATAATAACGGGGCAGAACGGTAATAATTATCAAACAGTTTTTTTTTCAAACTTTAGCTGATCTTCTAAACAGTTGATCATACTATATAATAAATAATATTTAAGCAATCTCTTGAGAAATGTTTTAACAAATTGCAAGATTTTGGATCGCTATAACTTTGAGCATCGGTATTATTTAATAAGAAACAAAAACTCTTATTATTATCATTAGTCATATTATAGAAGCACTTACCTGCCGCGCCTGCATGCAAATGGCGACATTTGCGGAAGGGATTGTAATAAGAAGAAATAAAAAATAACAGTTGTGTACTCACCCTCAGGTACTTGTTCACAAGCGCTGAATGGATTTCCGGTGTATCCGTTGATGCACGCACAAACCGCGTGGTGATTCACTACCGAGCACTGAGCGTTCGGACCGCATAAACCGACACACGGATCGCGACACTTTTGTTGCATACAAGCTAACTGCGGCGGACACTCAGGATTAATCGTGCACTCCGGTCGACAATTGGGCGGCAAACCAACATAATTTTCGATACACGAGCACGCAGGACTATCACCCCTCACTTGACACTCTGCGTTCGGACCACAAGGCGATGGCAGACATGGATTCATTGGTGCAGGTGGTGTTTCTATAAAAAAATATATTTAAATGAAAAAATTTAGTATTTAATGCTAGAATAAAAAAATTAAAATATAATTTGATTATGTCCAAAAGACATATATATGTATAAAATTCAAAAACCAAATTATTTTTAAGCAACGGGAAAGCACAGGTTTCTTTTAATAATTTGCGCTATTAACAATTTATAAAGATAAAAAATTAATGGAAAATACATAGATATCTCGTTAATAATTTCAGCCATTCTAGATTAATGTTTAGAAACATTTAGGATCAATTTATTTCTTATAATCATCGACCACCTGCAATTGATCCAATTATAAAATAAACTAAATTTATTAATACTACTAAATTTATTAATATTGTAATATCTAATCTAAATAACTTACTTGGTTGCGGGTAACATATTGTGAAGGGATCGCCTGTGTAAGATTCAGAGCAGCTACATATTGGATTATGATTAACCACTTGACAGTTCGTATTCTGTCCGCACGTGCCTGGACATGGATCTTGGCATTTATTATTTAGACACGCTTGTGTCAATGGACAGTCAGCGCTAATAACGCATTCTGGTTTGCAGGCGGGTGGACTGCCAATTAAACCAGGTTGACACGAACATACAGCATGATCATTCACAACTTTGCAGATGCTATTTGGTCCACAAGGCGAAGGTGTGCAAGGCTGTTTAATGGTATCTGCAAATGAGATGCGAATAATAGTTATCAAAAACGATAATGTAAATATATTTAATATATCGTAAAACTTATATTTGAAAAAATAAATTATTTTTATTTAATAT